CATAATGCATTTAAAAGGAAAAAGCTTCCCAGAAGCAAATTAGAAGATCCTACGGGATCCTCAAGAGATGCCAGAGCTTTTACAGCCTCTTTTTTCTTTTTGGAAGAGAGCCGTATATTTGGCCAGAGTGCACGGAAGGCTGGATGAAACCCATGCATTAGAAGTTGCTCTTATCCTATCTGAGTTCTTGCTGTATCTTAAATAAATTATTTTGGGGTTTCTTCACAACTTCTCGAGCTATTAGCAAACATTATTATTATTATTATTATTATTATTATTATTATTATTATTATTATTATTATTATTATTTCTATGGCCACGAAAGCTTGGAAAACAGATTTTGCTCTTATTCCTTTGGCAAAAATGTGCAGCCCTGGCAATATCCCGGCCCATGAGGAAGACGGAAAACAGGAGGCGGTTGCACGACCAGCCGGAATAACGAGGAAGCGGCGGCAATTCCCGTACGACCGTCACGGCTCCGTCACGTCGGCCCTTACGCAAGCACCAGGATGGGGAACAGGAGGCTTTAAATGAGGCTTAAAACACCCATTCTGCTGCTGGGGCTCAAAATTCCCCTTGATGTCACGTTAGGCTGCAAAATTTCTAGGAAAAAGGTACCGAGGCCAAAGGAAAAGAGTGCAGGAAAAGAGTGAGTGGAGGAGGGAAAATCTGGAGCATCGGGAGGGAGCCGGAGGCTTTGAGAGGAGGCAGCGGATGAACCAAGTCGTGTTTTTTTTCCCATTGCATTTCCAAGGGAATTTGCAAGGAGAAGCCGTCGCAACGTGAGAAATATCCCTCTGTAAAACATCATAAAATATCATGGAATATTGTAAAACATAAAGAAATCATAAAATCTCATAATAAAGGGGCTTTGAAGTCCTTTTCTTGGGGGGCTGGGAGTTTTGGGGCCAGCAAGAACATGATGAATTAACCCAGGAACGGGACGTGGCAACGGAGGAAGGGCCTCCATGGAGAAAAATTCCCTACTGTGTCCGGGAAAAGCAGCCAGGGAAGAGCCTCAATCCCTCGGAGAAAGGGAACATTATGCCCTTGGGTATCAATAACTTGTTTTTTTTCTTGCTTTCGCCCTCTTTTTCCAGCAGCGTTTCGGCTCTTTTAAGGCCGCGTGCTGCCCGCCCGGCCCTGCCAGCTGGATTCCTTATAGGAAAGGCAAAACTTGGATATTTCTGTCCACGGCAGGGCTTGGCGAGTGACTCACCCGGAGGTTTTCCTTCGCCCTATCCCGGTTATTTTTAACCCGTCATCCCTGCGGAGAGGGAGGCGGGAAGACGCGTGACACCCGGCATCGCGGCTGCCACATAAATCACTGCCACCTCATTCATGTCCCCGCGTGGGGCAAATTTAATTAGGAAAAGATTAAGAAGAGGAAGGAATAGGCTGGAACAACCCAGGCTGGAGATGGAAAAAAAAAAGAGGGGGGAAAATGCATCATGATCCTTTTCTTTTCTCTATTCTGTGTCTCATTCCTGGGCTGTTCCTTGTTTATTCCGCAGAAGCCGAGCGCGCTGCGACGTGCCGTGACCTGGTTTCTAAATCCCAGTGAGGACGAGATGCCAAAACGCTCCCACAAAGCCTCTTACTCCCACGGTGGGCACGTTTCCACCCGGATCTTCCCCCCTGTCCACGTGGCAAAGGGATCCCCAAGGGGGTGGGCTCATTCCTGATCTTTCTGCTTTTTTTTTTAACCCGTGATTAAATGGGAATACGCAGGGAAGAATGAGGTTTGGGAAGACGTGTGTGTTCTGGGGGGAAGTGGTTGGATTTTTTCCTAGCTTTTTTTATTATTTTTTATTTAGATATTGGGACTGGTTTCCCTCTTGGCCTTGCCGCACATTTGGCGAAGCCTCCAGGCGGATCCAGGGCCGCTCCGGAGTTTTCCGGACATCCAAACAACATTAAGGGCTTCATTAAGGCAGCTGCCGGAGGCGGGAAAGCATCGGCCTTTCCCACCGGAGCATCCTGCATCCCGGCGGAGCGGCTGCCAACGCCCCGTTGCTATGGACACAGCATCATCCCGGCGTCACCATGGCAACCGGTTGGGTACCAGCCCCGAGGCGGGGTGATGCTCTCGCTCCCCTGCTTTAAATACACAATAAATTGGCTTGAAAAAAGGTTTTTCCCACTGGAGCGGTGGCATCTGGGAGCCGTGAGTTGCAACTACCTTGTTTGTAAAGAGTAGGATCACGTAAAATCCCCATGGGGTTGTTTCTATGCGGATGAGGCTGGGGTTTTTTTGTGTGGGTGCAGCTGATTTTTGACTTTTAGATGTGTTGATATGCTGGGTAAAAACCCGGGGAATATTGTGTCTTCCAGATGCATATCAAGGTATTAAATCCCTGGAAATAAATAAATAAATGAAATGAAATGAAATGAAATGAAGCAAAATAAAATAAAGTAAATAATATGAAATGAAATGTGAAATGAAATGAAACGAAATGAAATGAAAAAATGAAATCTCTGCAGATATTCTGGCATGGAGAGGAGCTGATCTTTGCTCAGGGCACCATTTCCCAGTGCACTTTTCTATCCCGCTTTTGGGAAGGAATGGGATGTTAATCATCAAACGTGACCCTGCTCAGGATGTTGAATCATTATCCAGCTTGTCCCCTTTGTGTTTTTTTTAATTATTATTTTTCCCAGGTATCATGCAGTTCAGGCAAACTTTCTGGGTGATTTCTTGGCAATTCGCTATAATCCTGCGGGGGTGGCTGCTCATGCTCACAGTATTTCCAAATCCAGTCAGGGAGGAGGGGGGTTACGAGGGAAATTTCAGGCACTTGCCAATATTTTGGGGTGTTTTTCCCCAAAATCTCACTGCTTATTAGACCAGAATTGGGTGTACAGGTGCAAACCTGTCTTGTGTTTTTTATCCCAGCATCTTCGTGGCAGCTGGATGATCCTCCAACTCTTTTCAATCCCGCACAGCCTATGGTTTTATTTATTTAAGAATACTAAATTATTCATTCTTTCAATTAAATACTAAGAATTTGACTCCTTTATTATTGATTTAGAAATAAAATAACCCAAAGCATTTGGCCCGTTTCCGTGTGCCCGGTGGAAAAGGGGGGAAATGCCCTTTACTGCAGCCAGGGCGGAAATTCCTCCTGCGGGGAATTCCGGCACCTCAGGAATTCGGGAGGGGGAATGGGCATACAAAGAGGTGCCCGGCAGGGAGCAGGAAGCGTCGTTTCTTTTTTTAAAATATATATTTTATTAATGTTTTTCCTTCGGCTAGGGAATACGAAGCGGGGGGTTGCGGCGAGGGGGCAGCTCCCCTTCCCTTGGGATTTGCCGCTCGGAGAAGCAGAGCTGCCTGGTCCCAGGCGTCGGGAGGGATGTGGAAGGGAGGGAAAGGGTTGGGGGGAATGTGAAGGGCTGGGTGGGATCCACAGGGAAAGGGCTGAGGATTCCCGGCTCCCGGAGCCCCCTCAGCTCCGGAGCTCCCTAAAGGTCCCGGATCCAGCGTCCTTCCCTGGCCCCCATAGGGCGCCCTGACCCGCTGTTTTTCCCACTCTCCGGGGAATTCCCGCTCCCACGGAGCTCCGAGCGCCTCCGGCCCCAGCAGCCGGGCAGGAGCTCCCGGGGGTGCGACGAGCGGCTCCGGGCTCAGCGCGGCGGCCCTAGAGCTTGAGTGCGGTGACGCGCGGGATGTGGAAGGGACAGGTCTCCTCCGAGCCCGTGGAGCTGCCGGATGAGGGAGACGGTGGGATAGGGATGGATGGGGTGGGGTGGAGTGGGATGCATGGGATGGGATGGGGATGGGATGCGTGGGATGGGAGCGGATTGAGGGATGGGATAGAAGGGGATGCATGGGATGGGATCAGGTTGAGGGATGGGATGGGATGGGAGGGGATGCATGGGAGGGGAGCGGATTGAGGGATGGGATGGGATGGGATGGGTTGGGATGGGACAGGACGGGATGAGATGGGATAGGACAGGACAGGATGGGAAGGGATGACATGGGATGGGATAGGATGGGACAGGATGAGACGTGACGGGACAAGACGGGATTGCACAAGACAGGATGGGAAGGGATGGGGAGGGAATGAGGTGGGATGGGAGAGGACGGGAAGGGACGGGATGGGGTGCGGGATCCCGGAGGCCGCCGGCGCCGCGCGTCGCCTACATGAGCCGGTTGCGGACGGGTCGGAAGTGCCTGGCGAGGCGGAGCGCGAGGGCGATGCCGGGCACGAGGCAGACAGTGCAGCAGCCCAGGCTGAACCAGAAGGCGTTCTGCAACGGGGCAGCGCTGAGCGTGGCCGCGCGCTCCGGGCGCTCCGGGCGCTCCGGATGCTCCAGGTGCTCCGGGCGCTCCGGGTGCTCCGGGCGCTCC